GTCAGTGAGACAGGGATGTTGTACATATTGTCAGTGAGATAGGGACGTTGTAAATTGGCAGTGAGATAGGGACGTTGTATATTGGCAGTGAGACTGGGACGTTGTAAATAAAGGCAGTGAGACAGTAACAGACGATGCTTATCTCAGTTAACGCATTACATCACATCTATATACAACGTATGTTACTTCGTCAATGAGTATACTTTCAAAATTGTTAGATATCAAGATGTCTTATCTCATTTTTATCAAATTTATGTCTCGTAAGACTTTTGTAATCGTGCAGTTTCGTTCAGGGAATAGAACAAAGTTCAAACTGTTTTATATAAATAGTGCCGGGGTGCTACCGTGTCATCAAAATGATATTAGTGATCAAAACGATACTGACGATTTGAACGGCCTTTGCGTCACCAATTTACGTCATCGGAAGCGCCCCCTCGCTGGAAGACGCGATAAATATTGTTGTGACGTATAGCAACACTACCAAATATATATTGAGAAAATATGAAAGTATCGCACAGGAGGTGTTTTACAGTCATTCCATAGATTAACAACGGGCCGCATTCTAAACATATAACATTCGCCACGTGCTCCACACGTTTGTAAACATCTTATGCATTTTTCACATGATTGTTTTGTACATTTGCCAGGTGCGTATGTCAAAGTTCAACTTATGCATGGCAGAAAACCCGTGAAATCCAAGAAGACATCTACGCAGAAAAGAACCAGTACACCGGCGTACAACGAGTCATTTTCATTCGGTACTAGCGCTAAAGAAATGGAACGTTCCAGCGTACTGATTACAGTGATGTCGACGGGGCCGAACCGATTATCACATGACGTAGAATATGGGAGAGTGTTAGTAGGTCCGTTCATGTTTGCCAGGGGGGATGCCTTACTTCACTGGCAGGAAATGCTGACTAAGCCTAAGACCCGAGTGACAAAATGGCATGCTCTAAGCTCACCCAATTCTTTTATGTAGTCGATCTAAATTTAATTTGTTATTCTGTTAAAAAAACCACATACAAACATGCATCAATTACGTCTTATATAATGCACATTGTACATACTATACATATCTAGGTATATATTCATAAATAAACACATATAGATGAACATACTATGGAATTGATATTCAGGAGAACGGCGGTTACTTCAATAGAAAAAGATATTATGAGTGTGCCTTCTAAAATAGGTTAGGATGTTAGACCTACGTAATTTAGTTACGTGTTAGCCTTCTCTCATATTATGTTTAGTTCAACCCTTTAGTCATATATTGGTTTATGATATGGTGAATAATTTAAAGATACAGAAAGAGGGCAAGTAAAAAAATTCGCGGATTGGAATTTACGCAAGCACAAATCATATTGCGGGTTGTTTTTATAATATACAAAACAAAATATTTAAACAACATCATAAAATAAAATGCAATGTATATGTTATCACTTCACATAAATATAGACCATCGTACTTGTATAATGGAACATACATATCTTGTCTGAATGGCATTCCATGAAAAACATTACTCTTAATGCCAATACATGCTATACCATTCCATGCAGACAACTTACATGTGTGTGTGTAACGATAGGGGAGTTGCCGATCCTATAACGGTTAGTGTTGTATCATAAATATTCTCCTTTATTGTACCCCATGTTCAAGATTGTCACGTGGTATTGTTTCTAGTTGTAGCACTGTATTCCATCTGGTCTGCACTTTCTTGCTCCTGATTGGTGGATCGCTTGACATGTAAATATCACCCGATTTGAATAAATTTATTAAAACGTCATGACTGGCTTATGCGTAGCCTACGTCATAAATAACTATGATATGCGAGGAATAGTTCAGTGTGACAAATGCTCACACGGTTATGAAAACGGGTAGAAGTAAAATTATTAGTATATTAATTTTTTCAGTAATATTACCTAAACACTACTTATAACATGTAACAATTTTAATTTACTAGTTTAATATCCTGTATATTAAAATGATAATTGCTAATTTAGCAGATTGTAATACGAATTATTTTGACTTACTATATTACATGTATTACATAATATTATATATATATGTATTACATAATATTTACAAATGAGGTACATATTTACATTGATACCCTCTTACGTCACAGTAGAATAATAACAACATACGAGATGTAGCAGAGTCATTCTAATGTATTCCTGTATATGTATTGTATTTATTATAGAGCTTTACTGTATTCACTGCGTATATATTTATATGTTGTATTCATTCTGTTGTGGAATAGCGTATTACAATGTATAAGTAAATAAAACAAATTTAGATTCGTCAACCTAGAGTATTTATTGTGTAAGCTGTATGTGTATATGTTTGTTTATTCACGAAGAGTGACGCTGCCCACCCTTTCGATCTTGTTACAAATATAATCTTTCACGTGCAATCATAATGCAGAGTAAACGCTTTGTGTATAAAATAAAAACTGTTACATTTGTGGTAAGTAACTTAAGTGAGTTTATATACTAGTCGTGGTGTTCAAAGTTCAAAACTACCAATCTGCTAGTGATTTAGGTTGCATTGCGCTCTTGATTGAAAACCTCTCACGGATCCCTGTAAGCATTACTAATGCTGTGGGTTTGTTGCAGTGCATGAACAATTTTAGCTAACATAATCCTGAAAATAAAAGAATTTTGAATATAAAGTGGTACTGAGAGATTACAACGATAACAAATTATTTCGATTTATTGATTAGAGTAATCCAATATTCCAATATTTTAAGATTTGTTGTCAAAGCAACCGTTTTTTAGAATTTCTCACGGGTGTTTTGCACATAATTCTAAGTGGGCATGCAACTTTGATAACTTCAGTGTACGTTTCCCTTTAACGAGTCAGAGTTAAGGCTTTAACAACAGTCTTAGTACTATACTGGTGTAACAGTACTTCAGTGATGTAGTTTAAAATAGATAAAGGGTCGTCGTGATTTGTTTATAGAGATGTAACCTTCCCTCATTGATAGATTTTGGCAAACAGTGCAGTAAAAATCGTGTTTTGTGTTTGGACTAGATACTATTTGTTGAGTTAATTAGTTAATAGATTCACAGTAATAAAAGCGATGAAGAAACGATCTATTAAAAAGAGTGGCAATCGTTTTTCAGTTTACTGTTTCGCAGCTCAAGAAATTGCACATTTATACTATATGAGACCTGATCGTTTCCAAGACAACAGCGGATCCAGCCACTCACTCAGATACGTAAATAAGTTTACCTGCAGTTCTAAGAATATTGCCCGTTCTTCTATGCCTACTGCATCAACGTCTTGCATGACAGCAAGTGCAATGAATAAAAACCATGGATATGATATGTATTTAGAAACTGAACTCATTAACAATCTCATGTTGTTAACAATCCGCTTTAATAATATCCTCCAAACAGTACAGACTCCGACTCTAGGGTGTTTTACTACCATGTACCTAAAGCTACTTGTCAAGTTTCGTTCGGATCTGCTTGACTGCAGCTACCGACTCCGACCGTATATTGATCAATGGATTCCTTTTAGCAATATTCAAATATATTCACCTCAACTCTGCTCCTAATTATAAGTTACCTCGTGGCGATTGTTTAAACACAATCAAACCAAATCAATATTAAGGGTCTGGGAATGCGATTGCATGACACTATGAACACAATCTGATGTCACGGTGGTGTGCACAGGATGAAGACAGAATTTATATAATCGACTAAATTAATGATGGATGGATGAGACAAAACTAGTTAAAAAAATGTCGACAATTTAAATTCTTTATATTTTTGAAAGCATAGGTTTCATTAATAAATTACAAAGACTAAAAAAGGAAGTGGAAGGGGTAACCGAACATATGGAAACAATGACTTTGTGTTTCCCGCACAGCCGTGAACCTTAATATGGCGGCCATTTTGTTTATTTGAAATTTGGTCGTACTGCAGTAATTCACGATTCAAAACTAGTTTTAAATATACAGGCACAGCTCAGCCCAATTTAAGGAAATATTTTTGTAAAAAAAGTTTGTGCCTCTCACACCCTTAAATTCGGTTCAAATTTGAAGTGAATTTTGTTATAAATTGTCATAATTTTTATGATTTTTAGCGTTCAACTTGAAGCTCAAGTGAACTCTGAAAATCAACTTAAGTAAGACTAAACTACAAACGTGGATTAAGATACGCAGAATTTAAGGAAAATCCTGTGCACAATTTCAGTAATTCTTTTTTTCAAAGAAAGAACGACTATATATTGTACAGTTTATTGTTAAAAAATAATCCAACATACTTTGGTTAACACATTTACATATAATAAGTGCTAGTCGATGACTGTAGTACAAAATGATTGCCAATGAAAAAAGCGAAATGCCCGAAACTTCTTGTTATATTTAGTAGTTGCTAAGAACTACGATTAATACTTTAAATATTTTCAGCAGCATTTATTTATTATAGCAATAGGCTTAATATGGGTACATAATTGGACTATGAATAACAATCGATTAAAATTCAAATACAGTTGTTGTATTGCCCCCAGGTATTCTTATAATCAAACCAGTAATCAAATCCGTTGATATATTGTCGTCGTACATCATGCAGGATAACTCGTTAAATGTGAAGTGGAACTTCGGAATAGCGATGAGTTTGCACAGATGTAGTGTTTATTTTAAATATTCGCGTCTTTCGTACGATGGGTTGGGATGGTGTGATTGATTTTTAAAAGAGAAAGTCAGGTTAAGTGTCTGTCATCAAAATGTCCTATGACATAAAATAGTGGTAGTTAAGAAGTGTGGCAGTCGACTCGGTCATAACGCACGGTTGTTGTAGGTCTGTTCTATCTAGCTAATACGCAAATAACCACTTTAACTAATTCATCAATTGCCCAGCTGTATCTAGTTTCCAGAAGTATGGTAGTATCAGAATGTTTATAGTTGAATACTGTGACAGAAATTGGCATTATTTAAGTTATTTCCACGAGGGATGAGTTTAACCTGTGGCAGTATTTTCACGGGCGACACGAGTAAAACATTTAGCATGATGAACACCGCATCACTCGTAAAAATAACTTCTATACACAACAAATTTCATGACAAGGCCCTGGGATCTGTTATTATTAGGAATCGAACATATCATTCTTGGGGTGAACATGCAATGTTTTCACCTCATTATTGCTTTGCAATTTTTCGCCTCTAGCTACATAATTTTTCTATAAAGTACACCAGCTTTTTTTTATTCAAAATTTATGTTGCAAGATACACACCATTCAGTGATGACCACCATACATGTGATGTATGAGCCAAGGAAAATATCAAAGATACGTTTTTTTTCAGAAGTTACATACTTCCTTCAAAGTTCACCACTTTCCTCTTGAAAGACAAATGAGTTATACAACTAATATTTTGAATTGGGAAAGTATTGCAAATAACTCATACAGTTGAAAATGTATTGCCAAGTCACACATATACACATTGTACTCATATAGTTTACCTATATTTTGTCTATTGTTTGAGGGCATTCATGTGACCTCAGTTGTTTGGAGATCTGCCATACGAGACGTGCCAGGCAAGGCATTATCCCCAGGAGGACGGAATATTTTATTATACGCACTGGTTACGTAAATATAGTACTGATTTATAACTAATTTTATGTATTACCTTAAATTATGGAGTGAGAATGAAAACTTTCAAAAACAATTAAATTTTTGTTTGACCTTGCGTCAAGAGGGAATCTTTTTGGCATTTCGGTGAATAAAATTTGCAGTTTTTTTCGATAACGCAAACTGTTTTATTAACTTTTCCTATTTTCGTTTTTATATGTTTGTAAATTTGTTTTTTTCCAAAATGTTCATGCCCACCTCCGGGATTTCAAATGGTTAGCCCCTTACACATATTCCCTGAAACATTGCAATAACAACAGCAACAATTTTCGTAGAGTGCACGTGGTTGTTACCCCAGCATGACGTTCTATTTATATGCAAATAATTTGCAGACGCACGTATATCACTGTGTTAGTGACGAAAATGCGGAACGGTAAATGTAGCAAACAGAACACAATTTAAGGGCTTTTCAAAATAAAAACAAAACACTATAGTCGACCCTGACCGCAATAGCATGAGACATGGCGAGCTTAAAGCGCGGTAGTCTTCGTGCAGCGCGTGTTCGAATTTCATGTAAAGAAAATAATGTATTTTACACGCGTTGTGTACGTCGCTATGAGTCCCATATCGAACAGGACGCGACACCACGACTGCCGCCCTTTAATATTTAAATTATAATATTAATACGCATCTATCGAGCCCAAACATCCACAATTTTGTATTTTGCAATGGTCTATAATATTTGTTAAGAAGTACACAAACAGAAAATAAACAGACGAAATCTTTCCATATATGGACAGCGGAAAAAATGAGAGTATATATTTTAGGGTGCAACAAAGTATCTGCAGTACATACGTCATAATTACAATGACAATTATGATTAAGAACTAACACTTTTTATGTCATATTTATACGAACAGTTTTGAGTGATCGTGACTTATATTCATCGACCCCAGTAGCAATTGCTTAGGTGACTGAAATGAGATGGTGATCAGCTCTTTTAAACCTAAAACCACCATATCTCGAAAACACTGGCGAACACCGTATAGACGATAACTTACGAAACTAACTTCGAACTTTAGTGTCGATACGGCAGGTGCATCTGCAGTAAAACTAAGGGTCGGCAAATAGGAGGTTATGGAATACAAGACATGTCGACATGGCAACCGCAGTGATGGCCAGCGCAAAGTTTCACGGCCTACCCTCAGGTGCCTACCGTGTTGGATGTGGATATCGTCTTTATGCATTAAAGCGCCGCCACGTGTTTGATATGGGTCCCATGCGACGTATACAACGTGTGTAAAATAAATTACTTGTTCTATTGCCAAAGCTTAGAGCAAATTACTAAAACTTCTTCTTAAAAAAGGTCCGTAACCCTTTTTTATTTTTTTTAAATATAGTCCCATAGTCGGTTCATTGTCTCGATTTTACAAAAATCGATTCTATGAAGATTTTACAGACTTTCTTGAAACTGTATTTAACAACATTTACAGCGCCTTTCCTGCGATTAGGGGCTTGAAACTAGAGGTAGTCAAAATCCTTTTACTGGAATCTGTTTTAGGGATATGATGCACGACCAGAAACATAACTATGCCGAAAAAATGTATCTATTTCTTTCCCAGAGGGCGCTCTTCATGATTGATATAGCTTCCTGTCACCATCAGAAAGAAATTTGAAAAAAAGACCACGACTCCGGTGATTTAGATAATGACGAATGAAATCCCGTCATTATTGCTGAAACCTTTTTCTTACAATATATCTTCTCGTTTTGAGATGTCAACACCACGTTCACTGATACTAGCATTAATTGTAAGTTGGTTGCATATGGGTTACAGTTTGGTGTGCGCCGTGTACCGATACAGTAGTCACCCGTGCACGCCGCAGACGTACATAGCGCATCGTTGCTTACCTGCGTTAGCGTTTTTAGGTACAGTATATTGTTATCTACTGTCAATATAGAGGGTGTTTGATACAAGCCTGTGCGTGAAGCATTTTAGAAGCGAACACCTTTCGTGGGGAGAGTGATTGTTATCGTCACTTATGACTCAATTCCCGTGTGTGCGCAGGTGACGGCCCTCCTCTTTAAAAAAAAAATACTGGGAAAGGAGTGGAGGGGCCAACATTATGAGGGTATTATTTGTATTTTATGGTACTGATTCATTATATCGATTTTTAAATGTTATTTGTCATTTACATTCAGCAAATAATTATGATTATAATCCATCCACACAATGCATGGCCACAAAAAACGTAGAACACCTAACAGAGAGGGCGTAGTTCCACAAAATTATGATTACCTATACTCAAAATCCATTTTTCGAACACGGCACATGATTATTTACTATTATATTTTCGCATTTACTACATTACTTTTATATTGTATAAAATCTAGTTTAATTTATTTTTAATCTGGTGAATGAATAAAATAAATAAATTAAAGAGTAACAGTTATTTGGGTGTACATTTCATATTTTATTTATTGTTGTAAAATGGTTGTGTACAATATAATGTATGCATCAAGCTAAAGTTAATTGTACTCAATAAATTACAGAATTTGCGTAAATCTGATAAAATACAATATAGAATTAGATTTGTTCTTCCTGGTAAAATGATTAAAATAGACATATTTTGTACATATTCTATACCACTCTCCTGAAATAGACATTCTTTTATGACATAATAAAACAAATTTTGAATGACATGATTATATTGCTTAGTGAAAAGTCCTACAGAGACGGAATTTGAAAATTTTAGAAAATGGAAAAATGCTTTGAGAGATTTGACATAACTCAATAATGAAAACAACCCACAGCACCATCATATCTTTTTTAAAAAGCATTAAAGATTAGCTTTTAATAAATCTTTAATGCAATAAATGACACTGATGTAGAATATGATTAAATAACACAGATAAATAATTGTTTAACAGCTTTTCAATCCCAAGGGAAAAGTAACCAGAATTCATTCAATACACATATCTCTCCATATCTCTCATTCCTAAATTCAAATTATCACAATCATTTTTTTCGGATAAAAAAAAAGTGTTCCTGTGGCAAGACAACTATACATGCACCAATGCTTTTTAAAAATTACCTGTGAATATTTCTTCTCGCATGTACAAGTATTCTTTTTGATTTTATATCAGTTAAAAATGAAAAACAAATAAGAATTTGATTCATGATTTACAAAAATATATAGTAAAAGTATAGAGCAAATACTTGTAATTTCATAACAAGGTCTCAAAAAAACAATTGCTATTAAATGACGGATACATGTTAGCAAACAAATATATAACCTTGTACTGGCATTAGTCAAAGTAGAATTTTTATAATTGTGATGAATACTATAAATATTTTGCTTTATCAGCAAATTACCCATGATTCCCCACTGACAAGAATGTGAAAGTGGGCAATGGCAGCAGCTGACAGGTACTTTTGTGTCTTTGTTCTATTACCTTCACAGAATAGTACACTCACAATACTCTCCAAAGGATGTTATATGAATTTTTACCATCATTTGCTTGATAAGAAACTTGCATTCCTACATAACAGCAACTATAATTTTTGTTGTTGTTGCCATAATCAGAGAAATATTACAGTAAATATAATAGCCCTGATCAGCAAGTTAACCCTGTTATCGCCAGTTTCCTCTATTCATCGCAAATTCACAAAATAGTGCAGTTTATAGTCTGCACTTTCCTTCAGATGATTGGTACAAAAATAGCCAAACTTTTGGTGTAGAAACTGAAAATTTACTAAAATTCTGTCCACTGGCTTCAAAATTAGGGTTCATTTCTAGAAATATTTGAGAATTTATTGTGCAGTTTTTAGTCTGCACTTTCATTCAGATGATTGGTACAAATATAGCCAAACTTTTGGTGTAGAAACTGAAAATTTACTAAAATTCTGTCCACTGGCTTCAAAATTAGGGTTCATTTCTAGAAATATTTGAGAATTTATAGTGCAGTTTTTAGTCTGCACTTTCCTTCAGATGATTGGTACAAAAATAGCCAAACTTTTGGTGTAGAAACTGAAAATTTACTAAAATTCTGTCCACTGGCTTCAAAATTAGGGTTCATTTCTAGAAATATTTGGGAATTTATAGTGCAGTTTTTAGTCTGCACTTTCCTTCATATGATTGGTACAAAAATAGCCAAACTTTTGGTGAAGAAACTGAAAATTTACTAAAATTCTGTCCATTGGCTTCAAAATTAGGGTTCATTTCTAGAAATATTTGAGAATTTATGAAAAAAAGTGCAGACAAATTTGTGCAAAAAGTCTGGTGGTGAAAAGGTTAAAGGCATAAATCACCTGAACAGTCTAGCAAGATATGATGTGGAACAAAACAAGCAGTGGTGACTGGTGGGAAATATTGCCAGGATATAGTTTTCCCTCTGGTGGTTGAAGTATAGCTTCTTTTGTTTTTATGCAAGTCATGGTATTTCATTGGCGGTTGAGATTATGAGTTTATTTCATCACAATAAAAGACATAAACCTGGAAATATGTTTATTGAATGCAGATTTTATACAAAGATGTAAAAATCAGAGAACTTAGAGAAAAATTAAAGAAGTATTTGCCACTATAATTAAGAGGTGGTACCTTTAATACACAACCATAAATTGTAACTGGTTTTGACTTGTCAAAGTTCAGTTAATTAATCAGTAGTGTTATACCTAAGACATACCTAAGTAACATATAACATAGGTGGTCATATTTGTAAATACTCATTAGACTTGCTGATACGTCACTGAAAAGGGCAAAAATGGGAAATAATGGAAGAATTGCGAAAAAAGCAAAATACTTGTTCCTTGCATGTGTTCTCATTGCCATCAGCGGGAGCTTTGATTGGTGATGCAACTTGTATTCATTTTTGGAATAACCTGAATCAATCAGAAACTATTAAGCATAATATGCTGATGATATTTGACTGGAAGAAAGCTATCATTCACCTTGTCAATAATTTTTTTTGATTTGCATTTTAATAGTCCAACTTTGCGTGATTTACCTGGAAGACTAAATAAAATTCAAGCGGAAACATTAGGCAACCTAAGACCCTGTGGCTATTAGCAACAAATAGGCTGTCTGATTCATTGTGGACCCCTATAACTTGTATCAGTAATTGTATACACAATGTCTACCTACATGTATCAGGCCATGTGATATGCAAATCGCTACCACTAATCTATTTCACGAACACTGCTTTATTTTATATTTTAGCCGTTATTATTCATTTTTTTTCTGCATTCAAAAAACAACGAGGTTTGTATGAAAGTTTTACTACTCATCAATATCCTCTTTTTCTTCGATAACTAATGCCACATCTTTAGTGAGACCTAGATCTTCAAAGGTTTTCTCTAAGTCACTTGTTAAGCAGTGTCTTGGGTAGGTACTTGATATGCTGTACATTGTGGGGTGGTAACCAAGCTTTGTCATGTAATCAATTAATATCTGTGCAAAAAGAGGCAATAGATTATACCGATAAGTTTTTTCTCATCACTGGATCAGTTGTTTTGTGGATACCGCAAAGTATGCACTCGGACATTCGCCGTCGCATCGACCTCCCCTGTGCGTCGGTCGATACTCCCGTTGTCTTCATGCACTTCATGCATACTTCTCGGTATCTTTGTAATAACCTTACTATTAATACATCTTTTCCTCCCAATGATACATCATGGGAATGCCAAAATCTAAAAAGTTTAGAACAGGATCAGCGAGCTTCTTTGTGTGGAGTCCAGTCAAACTCAGGTGGCAGCCATGTTTGTTTTTATTATTAGAGGATGGTTAGGCACGTAAACATTCCATATTTGGAATTCACATTTCCTATTATGGTTCGATGAAAATACCTCGTAAAATACCACAAAATTATGGTACGCTGTGTATGACTTAGGACGATATGGTGACAGATGTATAATAATATTAATACTGTAAAATACTTCATTTTAGCTGGAATTAATTTTTGCTGAAAAGACTTTTTGGGTGTTTTGTACGGAATGTATTTTCACAATTTTTTTTAAGTTGAATGTAAAATATAGGATAAAAGGTATGAAAATAGCAAAAATCAATTCCAAGCGAAAATAAAGTATTTTACAGTATACAAAGTTAATCAATAAAATGTATTGCTTGCTTCATAAACCAGTGAATTTAAAACCATCCTTGCCATATTACTATACAAGTATCAAGCAAAAAATTAAATGAATACCATCAATTAAAATAATAAAATACCATATTTACTCTATTAGAAACTGACAAAAGTTACTATGAAAGAAAGTACAGGAAACACGTTTTTTCAGAACATCAATTGAGTTTTCTACCCATACATACCTGAATGTTATCAGTATACAGAAACCGCCGTCTGTGTGTCCTTCCTGTCGGAGTCTTCAATGCTATAGTCATTACCTGCATAGATACAATTACATATAATGTAATTATTTGTGTGCCTGACAACAATTCACAACACTGGAGACTGCATGTTCAAGTTTAATCGTGGATGTATTTCGTTTTGCTAAAAATTTACTCAGGACTACCAGCATTTGATTGGCTGGGGTCATATCCATGAAATAATGACATTATGGCTACTCAGAGAGCTATAACAGCACCAACCAGACCCGGTCAAAAATCTCCACCTGTAGGTCTTGATAAAGGTCCATCAACATGACGCCCATTAGTGAACAAAGAGAGAATATTAACATTCGCAACTGACAATGACTTGTTTCACCGATATAAGATAAAACTCACCATCGGTGAACCCTCTGCAGGCTCTTCAGGAAGAGTAATAGTCTGGATAAAAAAAAAACAGGAGTGTATACAATAAGGTAAGTGTTGCAATAAACTAGAAACTGTTTTGTAAAACCTTCTATTTTAGATCACTCATCCACCCTTGGTCATTCTCATCTAAAACTGACTATCACTATATTTCTGTAAACCATATCAAAGTAGAAGTTGTAATAATAACATTACATATGAAAAATTGGTTGTCCCGATTCTATGTTGTATCTCTTACCCCAAGTGCCTGTCCTTTTCCTTTCCATGCAGGACCAGCAAATCTATAAAACTGTTCTTCTTTTTCTTTACGTTTTGCTTCACGTCGTAAGTCTTCTGCCTGAAAATCCACCAAAATGAACATTTTGAAAACCATTAATCAACTTATGGTCTAATGTTACTCTACAAAAAACTGATTCTTCAAATTTACATGATTATTATATTATCCTATTATTCCTTAGATGAAGGAAACCCAAATCAAATTAAATTATTCTGTATATTTGAATATTCATAAGCGATTGAATGTCACCCTTACTAATTTGATGGCGGCCATCTTTGATCTTGTTAAAAAGAGAACTGTGGTCTGCCCTGAGAGCTTATTCTAATGACTTTATGAATAGAAATTTGATGCATTACTTATGAATACTTGGCTTCTAGTAACCAACATTCATTTTGTTCAACAAAAGTTTTGACTGGAGATTTTCAATA